CTTGTCTCAGGTTCTGCTTTTTGGGGGACCCAAACTAAGATAGCAAACGTCTCCCCTCTAGGGGGATAGCACACAAGGAGGAATGGGAAAATGGCTTGAAGGTCAAGGAGAAGACACAGAGTAAAGGAAGTGATGAATGCTCTGAGGTAACAGAAGAAATAAGGACCTTACAGCCTTTCCAGGGTCAGTGTTAGAGTTCAACACCATGAGCCTAAAGACATCTTAGGTTCTAAGCTACTGCCTTGGGGAATGACAGGGAGACGAGAGAAGAGGAGGCTGTTGAGAACTTGGCTTTCTGAGCAGAAGGAGGGAATAGAAGACTGAAATCACTGGCTGGCATTAAATATCTGAGCGGAACACTTGTTGCTGAATAATTTTACATGTGACAACTTGATTATTTCCCAGAGAGAATCAGAATATTTAGTGAGCACTTACTGCCTCAGCTATACGTGAAGTGACTCTATTTCTGAGTAGAACAAAATTCTGCCGTTATCCCCACATCGTGCACAATGAAGGGACAATTGATAAACAGCGAAGTAACCTGTCATTTTGGAAGTTATCCTCTGTGTAGGATGCTCTGTAGGTTTTATGCCCAATTTAACAACCTTGGAAAAACACAGGGACGCTTGAAGTTAACTTTGCTAGTGATATACTGGCAGTTTATTCCAGGAAACTTTATGTGACTCCATTTTCTCAAACATTCAGGCCAGAAACTAAACAGCACAAGAATGGGCCTTCACATTGTGAGACATTGTATACAAAATGTGGTGGCGATGGTCATTGACCCCCCTCCCCCCAACCTCCCCATCTATTAGGTCTAGTAATAATTAATGTCGTTTTCTAATACTTTTTAAAATCGAATTTATTTAAACAATACAACAAAATTTAATCAACAATATAGTTGCCGTTGTTTTCTACTACTTGTGCCCAACGCTCAGGAAGCATTTTAATCCCTCTGTTGTAAAATTCTTGTGATTTTGATGCAAAAAATTCGGTCAATGCATTTTTGAGGCATTCTTCATTATTAAATTTTTTCCAAGAAGAAAGTTTTGCAAAGAACGAAACAAATGGTAATCAGAAGGGGCAATATCAGGAGAATATGCAGGTTGAGGGAGAACTTCCCATTCCAACTGGCGCAGTTTTTCAACAGTGATTCTTGCAGTATGCGGTCGTGCGTTATCGTGGTGAAGAATTACGCCCTTCCGATTAATCAGCGCGGGTTCTTTTTCTCTTAAAGCTTGGGCTAACCTTTCCAATTGGGCACTATACGCTGCACTTGTAATGGTTTGGTTAGATGGTAAAAGTTCATAATGAAGAATTCCTTTAAAATTCCACCAAACACACAACATCACTTTTTTCGCATGCAAGTCAGGTTTTGGCGTGGGCTGCGGAGCCTCATTTTTGTCCAACCATTGAGGCCGCCTTTTCAAATTAACATACAGCACCCATTTTTCATCTCCGGTAACAATTTGCTCTAAAAACGGCAAACGGTTTTGACGAGAGAGGAGCGAACTGCAAATTGTGACTCTTTGATTACGGTTGTTGTCGGTCAACTCATGAGGAACCCATTTTCCAAACTTTTGGACTTTGCCAAGTGCACGCAATTGATTGGAAATTGTTTTCTGTGAACAATTTAAAGTTGTCGCAAGCTCTTGTTGGGTAATTTGAGGATTTTGCACCAAAAGAGCTTGAAGAGCTTCTTGATCAAAATTGGGACACACGGCCTCGACCACTCTTGTCATCTAACGAAAAATTTCCCTCGCGAAATTTCTCAAACCAACACTGGCATTTTCTGGCGCTAACTGCATCTTGACCAAGAGCACTACAGATGTTTTTTGCAGCCTCACTTGCTTTTCTTCCTAATTGGAACTCGTAAAGCATACAGTGCCGAATATGCTCTTCATCCGCCATCTTCTTAGCCCTAGTTTTGCAACAAAAACCAAACCAAACACAAACTTTTTCAAGCAAAACTTGTTAGTTGCACTTCACACGTTCTGTAGATACCACGTGTTTGAAGGTTATGTCAATACAAGTCAATGCCAAGCAAGATTTTAAACGAATGTTAAAAAACGACATTAATTATTACTAGACCCGCCTCCTTCTCCTTCTTCTATGCTAATAGAGATGAGCTGGGCACATGGTTGCCTTACTTGGAAATCAAATCTTAAGTCTTCTCTGCTGCTGGGTGTGACTAAGATCTGACCAATGGAATGCAGTGGAAGGAATGCAAGCAACTTCTGCTTTGCTGATTTAGGAGAAAGTCTCTAGGTTTGGCTCTTTCTCCCTTCCCACTGGCTACCCTGGTGGTACTTGCAGGAACCTCAGATGACACATTGAATACTAGCCTGGGTGCCTGAATAACTGTGTGGAGGAAAGCCTCTCTCTGACTTAGAATACCCTACTTGGACTCAATTGGGTGAGAGGGAAATGACCTTCATTGTTCTTTAAGCCATATTATTGTTAGGTCTCTTGTTATAGTAGCTTAATTCTTACCCTAACTCCTATTTACGCACATGCAATTACTTATGTATTTCCTTTAAGTACATCCTGATCCCTAACCTGGTTGGTGTGAGCTGGTTTAGAGCATCCAAGGAGAATACAGGCACTTGAGCCTTACTCGGCCTGGAGTGCCTGTTCAGTGTATTAATTTATCCCTCCCTCCCTCCATCCATCTGTCTACACATCCATACAAACATCAATTATATATGATGTTTTTAGACCTAATATGTGCAAGACTCTTTGCTAAGGGATACCTAGGAGATATGAATGACACAAAGCTGAATGGTACACAGTCCCTGCTCTCAGTGAACTTATAGTCTAGAGCACGTGTCAAACACAAGGCCCGTGGGCCAAATCCGTCCCGCCAGGCCTTGCAATGTGGCCCGCACCGCGCTGTCATCACTGCACTCCGCTGCGTTTCCATCACAATGACAGTTTATGACTGTTCAGTAAACCATTCGGCCCACGATTTAGGCTGGATTTTAGATTTTGGCCCCTTCTCTGATTGAGTTCGACACCCCTAGTCTAGAGACTTTAGGTGGAGACTAAATCATTAAAATAGGGATAGTTAGGGTCAACTTTAATTCTAGGAAATTTTAATTAAATTTGAAAAAGGCTAGTTTAAATTATTATTATTATTATTATTATTATTATTATTATTATGAGAATGCTCTCCCTGGTAAGATTTTGAATTCATTTTCAAGATCAGTGCTTACAGCGAGAAGGACCATTTTTATTTAATGGCAATAAAGCATATATAAGCACAAGCAATGTGTTACTCACCATAAACACAGTCCTTGCTCCTCCTCCTGCTCCCCCTCTTCCCCCCGGGAGAGTATTAAATACGGGAAACGCTGATGTGTATCCTTGAGCCTTCCTGTACTCTAGGCTGGAACAGCTTCCTGAGGGATGAAGGCAAGAAGGAGAAATTGAAAGGACCAGCTCCGGAGGCTTTTTCAGGTAGGAAGAAATGCCTTTTCCCGGGGATAGTTTTTAATTGGGGACTGTAGTTTGTTTCCATTTATTTTTGCAAATACACTGTTCTTTTTCATTTCTAAGCAGAGAGAGAGAGACAGAGACAGAGACAGAGACATATAGACAGAGGAGAAGGAGATAAAGACCGAAAGAAAGATGTTGACTAGCAAAGGGGTGGAAAACCATTGAGTCAGGGAGAAAGATGCAGAGAAAATAATCCAAAGAATATGTTAGATATACACAGAGAGAGGAAGCTGTAAATGAAAACTATGACAAAAAGAGACCTGCAGTTCTCTAGCTTTTATTGAGCAGGAAGATGTAAGATATCATGAGATTGCTTCCAGAATTTATCTTCTATGTGGAAAAGATAAACTGACTTGAGGGACTCACACGTGTTGCATGAATTATTTCACTGATGCAAATCGTTGGGAGACTTCAAGAATGAAGATTAGTGTTAGAATGGAAGGCCAAAGGAAGAAGAAAACACTAGATACCTAATGAGTGGACAGACTTAGAAGAGAGATAAAACTTAGGTAAAAATGACTCTCTTAAAGCATTCTCAGGGCCAATACGGGCACTCTTTAGGTAGAAATAAAAGTTTTCACCCTTTTAATTTGCCAGGATTCATACAATTTGACCACCATTATTTTCCTTTCCATTTGACAACCAGACATAATTTTAATGGATAAGTTAAATAATTATTCCCATTTTTAATGAAACATTTCAAACATACAACAAAATTGAAAGAATTCAGAGAATACTTAACACTTAGATTCACCATTAACATTTTAATATAATTGCTTTCACATATCTATCCCTCTATTCACTTAATTCATCTTATTTCATGCATTTTAAAGTAAATTCTATACATCAGTACACTTCTCCCTAAATACTTCAGCATGCACATAATTTGCTAGACTCAAGGAAATGATTATTTTGTAAAGAACTGCAAGAAAAGTTAAGATGAAATTGATCAGTTTTATATTTTTGTATGCAATTTCTAGATAATGGGGGCTGATATTTCTATACTCAAATTCACTGAACAAACATAGGGATGGTGATGCCTATTAAAGATGACTTCTGTGGGGTGAAAGGGAAAAAATTTTTGGCTGATAATTATTCCACATGATCTATAGGAGAAAAATCTATCCCCTTTTGGTATTTTTTTGTATTGATCTGCAGAAATAAAGAAATGAGCTCAGGGAATACCAAATACAGGAGAGTCCTTTTTTAAAATCTCATTCCTTGAGTGGGTAACCCACAGGCTTTTGAAAGTAGTCCACCATCACGTAGTTCTGTCTGGTAGATTCTGACTCATGGGAATGGGCTTTGAAAGATCTAAGGATGTGTTTATCTTGACACTGAGTAAGAGTAATAAAGCCATGTCTAGATTTTTGCAGCAACAAAAAGTATGTATGTTACAGAGTCACTAGAAAGTGAAGTGATAGATGTTATCTTCCTGATGTTTTGGCCTGAAATATTCAGAATCTAAAAACATGGTAACTCCTTTAAAAAAGATCATACATATCGCTTCTCTGCCTTTTGGCTAAGATCAAGTGTAGTATCTGTTCTTATCAGTTTAAAAAAGATCATACAGAAAATTGTTTTGCTCAAACATTCCAACCTAATCTTGGGTCTTATGTTTGAGCAACTCACTATCTAAGTGAATTTTTGTGGCAGTGAGTTTTAGAAGATTCACCCTTCTGATCACACCCCTCCCCTGCCCCCTGGGCGTGGGTTGCAGGCACAGACTGGCTTCACTTTAGATTTCTCAGAGATCTTAAACCAAGAATCTTCCAATACTACGCCCATGATATGGTTTTACCCATTCTACAAACTTGCCAAACGTTTAGATTTATACTATTGCTGTGATTATATTTTTAACACAGATGAATAAAAATATAACTAATTAAAATGTCAAAGCAACCCCAATTGGCTTTAAGTCCTTCATTTATCAAAAAGTAATGGCATAGGGCACCAATCTTCCCAAGAGTGTCTCTAAATCTTTGTATAGAACATTCTATCTTAAAAACAAGAAGTCATTTATTCCCTCTTTCCCCCTTGCCTGGCCCCGACTGGGACCGGGGATCAAACTTGCAACCAGGTACATGCTCTTGAGTGGGAATAGAACCCATGACCCTTTGGTATGTGCAGGCTGATGCTCTTAACCACCGGCCAAGGTGGAATTTATTTATATTTTTTTAGCAAATGAATTTAAGAAACAGATATTTGTCCAGCACCAATGCCCTGGGGATACATCATGGAAACAAAAAAAAATTCTCATAGTGCTTCTATCTAAAGGTGGGACTATAACAACAGATAATAAAAACTATGATGGATATTATATACTGTAGCATGTTAGGAGGTGATAAGAACTATGAGAAAAGAGAAAAAGCAGAGCAGACTAGGGGGATTGTGTGTACTGGGAGAACAAAGGTGGGTAGAATTTTAAGTAGAATGGCTAGGGTGGACTAACTGTGAAGATGACACTAGAGCAGACTTGAGGGAGGTGAGGGAATTAACCATGCATCTGTGGAGATGTGTGGGAAAGAGTGTTAGAGACGGAGGAAAAGCATACGCAAAGACCCTATCAGGGAATGTGACTGGCTCTTTGAAGAAAATCCAGTGGGCCAACGTGATCAAGCGTTTAATGAGAAGAGTGAGAGATGAGTCAGAAAACTGTGGGCCAGATCACACAGGGCCTTATAATCTTCTCTGTCTTTTTACTTTGAGCAAAGCAGGAAGTCTTTGAAAGGCTCTGAGCAGAGGTGATGTAGTTTTTAAAAGGATTTCCCTGTATATATATTGAGACTAGACTTATGGGAGAAAGGTTAGAAGCAATAGAGGGGATGGGGGCTCAACACAAGTTGTGGGAGAGGATCAATTTCTGGACATACAGCTTTCATGGAGAGCCAACAGGATTTCCTGGCAGGTTAAACATGTAGGAGGTATATGTGAGAGAGGAGTTAATGGATTTGGGTTTGTGCTATGCAAAGGTTGCATTTGATATGAATTGAAATGAAAGGAGGGAGGTTTTTTGTTTTGTGTGTGTGTGTTTTTTTTTTTTTTTTTTTTTTTTTAGCAAAGAAGGGAACTGTTCTAGGTGCTGAGCATATACAAGTGATGAAGACACAGTCTTACCAAAGGCTGGTTATTCATTGAAATAAGTGCACAAAGGTTCAAGAAGAACAGAACAGAAAGCAATTTGCCATCAGGCTTGGGTTGAGGAGGTAACATCTGAGCTAGGTTTTGAAAGGAGCCTGCCAGGTGTGTGTGTATGTGTGGGTGTGTGTGCACATGTGCACGTGTATTGGGGCCAAGGAGTAGAGTTCATCCTTTTTTTAAAAAAATTAAAAAAAATATATATTTTATTGATTTTTTACCAAGAGTAGGGAGAAGGATAGAGAGTTAGAAATATCGATGAGAGAGAAACATCAATTAGTTGCCTCTTGTACACTCCCCACCGGGGATGTGCGCACAACCAAAGTACATGACCTTGACCAGAATTGAACCTGGGACTCTTTAGTCCACAGGTCAATGCTCTATCTACTGAGCCAAACTGGTCAGGACAATAAAGGAATATCTTTATCTTTCTGAGGGCCAGTTGATACATTGAATGGGTACTTTTTCAATATATTTTTTAAAATTTCTTAAGCACTATTTAAGATAAAATAATACAAAGAATAGCTCAATGGCACTTTATTTTAAGCTAAAGTCCTGGAGACCAAAGTGAAAGATTCAGCTCACAGAACATAGGCAGCTAGTTTCAAAGAGCATGTGTCATCCAAGTGACCACACTGCCACCAGCTTGGTGTCACACCAGGTACCCTAGTTCTTTGATTTAGGGAGTTTTCTCTCACTTCTATAAAAATCTGTTATAACCCAAAATCTCACTTTCATCACAGTGTGGTTATAGCCTAGACATAGGAAGCAAAAAATGTCATCTCAGCCCTTTGATTCAAGCAAAGCATTTCTCTTGGAATAAAAACTGCTGAAGCTTGGTTCTGTCAATGAGAAAGGATGGAATTTTGGGGACTTTGTCCCGTAGAATATCACTTGACAAAGGTAATGGTAACCTCTTATGTTTTATGGCTTTTTACAAAGTCCTTCCTCCCCCATTAGCTCATACCATCCTGTCAAGTGGTGATGGCAAGGTATCATTGCCTCTATTTGATGCTGCCAGAGCTGAGGCTTAGAGAGTTTAAGAGACTTCCAAGAAGTCCCATAATAAGAATGTGGCAGAGATAACACTTGGACAAAAAAATGCAAAGTCAGGTTCTGTGCAAATTTTACTGTTCCACACTACACTCTCTCTCGGTGTCTGGAGCAACCTTCTTCTTAAGGGACATAGAAATAAAGGGCCATGTATGTGATACCAGACTAGATCATACAGATCTTGCCCTTATTCACTATCAAGACTTGCTCTTTCTAGATTTCCTGGTGGCAGGAAGTAAGGAGTGACAGAATGCCCTGACCCATGGCGCCTTTGGAGAGAGGCACTGATCTGCTAGTGGATTGTTGGCATCCTTCCCCAATGAAATGCCTCAGAAAAACAGGGTAGTTATTCCCAATTCCCTGGCAAGACCCAACTCATGAGATGCTGGGGTGATGGAGTTTATAAGCAACACATAAGTTGAGTTTGAGTAAATATTTTTATTGATTAAATCATTCAGCACTTTGCTCAACTATGTACATCCTATATAATAAAGAGACAATATGCAAATTAACCCTCACACCCTCACAAGATGGCTGCCTATGATCAGGCCAGCAGAGGGGTTAATGAGGGATGACCAAATGACTGAACAAGAATGTTGCATGGGGCGACTAGGCCGGAAGTTGGGTTAGTGAGGGACAATCAAATGACTGAATAGCAGGCTGCATGGGGTGAGCAGGCTGGCAGGGGGAGGGGGAGGGGTGGAGGGGCCACAAGGCCAGCAGGGGGTGCAGTTAGGGGCAACCAAGCTGACAGAGGGAGCAGTTGGGGGCAATTAAGCTAGCAGGTGGGGCAGTGAGGGGCAACTAGGCCAGTGGGGGGGGGCAATTGGGGGTGACCAGGCTGGCAGAATTTCATGCACCAGGCCTCTAGTAATGTTAATAAAAGAAAATGTTTTGCCAAAACCGATTTGGCTTAGTGAATAGAGTGTCGGACTGCAGACTCAAGGGTCCCAGATTTGATTCTGGTCAAGAGCATGTATCTTGGTTGTGGGCACATCCCTAGTGGGAGATGTACAACTGGCAGCTGATTGATGTTTCTCTCTCATCGATGTTTCTGACTTTTTATCCCTCTCCCTTCCTCTCTGTAAAAAATCAATAAAATATATTAAAAAAAAGAAAAAAATGTTTATTAATTGGCTTCAATGTAACCAACACTATAATGATTTCTCAGACCAGTCTCCACCTTCTATGAGTTCACAGCCCAGTGAGAAAGATAAACAATTAGGCAGGCAATGACAATGCAATATGGCAAATGACATCACAGATGTTTGAATCAGGATTTATAGGAAACTAGATGAATCAGGATACGAAGAGGGCCTAGAATAGTTAAAAAAATGCCCAACAGCTGAGGTTTGGTTCAGTTTCAAAATTTTAAGCACGTCATAAATTAACTATGTGTGGATCTTGTAATTACCATAGCTGATGGGAGTATCATGCCATCAGCACCCACTTACTGCTTTGCTGAACTGTGGCATTGTCATCTCTACCCCTCCCTGGAGGAATGCTCCAAGACTCTGCATCTTGTTATATTTTTCTTTTGGAGCCTAATGACACATTAATTGTCATTGAAATGTTTGACACAGCCTCCCTCAAATATTTTGCAAAAAGTTGTGTATATATAATTCAAGCAGCCACAAGATTTGTGAATGGGCACAGAAAGCAAATGCTAATATTTATGCAAAAGGTTAAGGCTAACCTTTAGTTTGTCTTAACTGTCAGACATGCTGTGTGGTTTTTAACGTATTGTATACAAAAACTCTGTTTACGTTCCCCCAATTGTTTGCCTCCTGGGGTTTCCTGTTGCCCAGCTGTAAGTCTGTCTTATAGGAAAGCCAAATCTATGGGTGCTTAAAATATGAGACAGATAGATAAAGAACATAGGTTCAGATTTCAAAGTAAAGTATAATTGGAAATTAAATAAAAATGTGTTTTATTAATTTTGCATATTTGCATTGGGCCTTTCATCCAAATATATTGCAGCTTCTGTTTATCTCTCAGTCATTTAATCATAAAGAAAAGATTTTTTAATTGATCATTTCTTCCCTTTCTCCACCTACTTAATAATAAACACTTGATTTTCTCCATGTGGAGCTAGAGTTGCTGTTGAAGATCAATGGGCAGAAATCATTGCATGCTAAATGCATGGAAGAATGGTTTTCAAAGTGTGGTCCCTTGGACCAGCTCAGCATGGAATTTTCACGCCCCATCCCAGACTTATTGTACAGGAACTCTGGAGGTGGGGTACAGGAAGCTGGCTTTTAACTGGTCCTCTAAGTGATTCTGATGCAATGCTCAAGCTTGAGAACCACCATCATAGGACATTAGAGATGGAATCTTTAATTTCATGGTTAAGAGGTCCACAGAGAGAGAACAGAAGTGCTGAAGGAGATTGGTATATACAGCACTGCTAATCCTGTATAATACATGGGTAATATGCAAATTGACCCTAATAGTGGAACAATTAGGAAGGACTGGTTGTGAAGAAGTGCACTGGTCAC